ACAAGCAACCACCGATCCTTCATTGTTATTCGCCACGATGAAGAATGAGCTCAGGCGAATCAGTGAGCAACAAATGGAGACGTTACACACTCGTTTTGATGAGTTGTCCAGGAGCCTTACACGAGGCTCTCGTTCTAGATCCCACAACCGGAGTAACCACAGCACCAAAGAGGCAAATGGCGAAGACTCCTCCGTTAGTGAGGATAAGGAGCGGCCCGGGAGGCCTACAAGGGACACGTCCAAGAACGAACTCAAGGGGCTTAAGATTCAAGTCTCCGCATTCAAAGGCAAAAGTGACCCCGAAGCTTACTTAGAGTGGGAAGGTCGTATCGAGATGGTCTTCGACTGCTACGACTACAGCGAGGAACAAAAGGTTAAAGTTGCACTCGTCTGGTGGGACCAAGTGAGGACCAATAGGAGGAGGATGGGAGAACCACGTGTCCGGACTTGGCGAGAACTCAAGGCACTGATGCGCAAGCGATTTGTTCCTAGCTACTACAATCGTGATCTCCACTCTAAGCTTCAAACCCTCACGCAAGGCAACATGAGTGTGGCGGACTACTACAAAGAAATCGAGATGGCCATGATGAGGGCCAACATTCAAGAAGACAATGAAGCTACGATGGCGAGGTTTCTTAGAGGTCTTAATCCTGACCTTCAAGAAGCCTTGGAGCTCCAACATTACTTGGACATGCACGACCTTCTAGAACTCGCTATTAAGGCCGAACGGGGAAAGAAATTAAGACGAGGAGCCCGTACTTTCCAATCTTCTAACACCACTTCATGGAGGGGCAACCAACCACGAAGAGCGACCCACGAAGTTGGAAGTGCGACTACACCAACCTCTTCTACCCGAATCCAAGGTAACGCCTCCACCCATAATGCCTATTCTACACCTAACAAGGTTTCCGATGTGTCCAGGTCTACTTCTAAGGCACCACAAGAGACTCCTAAAACTAGGAGTAGGGACATCAAATGTTTTAAGTGCCAAGGGTTTGGGCATATTCAATCTCAATGTCCAAACCAACGGGTCATGCTAATCACTCACACTGGCGAGATCGTGTCCGATGACGACGACTGTGAGGAGCTACCTGAATTGACCAAAGGGGACTGCCTGGGTGACGACTCTGTTGAGGAAGACTGCTCGCCTACACAAGGGGAAGTAGGGTGTTTGGTGGCACGACGAGTGCTAACCACCCGAGTTAAGGAGGACGAGCAGCTACAACGGGAGAACCTATTTTACACCCGTTGCAAAGTAGGTGACAAGGTGTGTAGCCTCATCATCGACGGTGGGAGTTGCACAAACGTGGCAAGCTTACTCATGGTTGAGAGTTTAGGGCTTCCAACCACTAGACATCCACACCCTTATCGCCTCCAATGGTTGAGCGAGGAAGGAGAGGTACGTGTCTTCAAACAGGTACGCATTCCTTTTTTCATTGGAACTTACACCGATGAAGTTGTTTGTGACATCGTGCCTATGCATGCTACCCATGTTATCTTGGGTCGACCCTGGCAATTTGACAAACACGTCACATTCGACGGAAGGGCCAACAAGTACACACTCTTGCATGATGGCAAAGGCAAAGTTCTCACACCACTCACACCTGCACAAGTGTATGAGGACCAACTTAAGCTACAAAGAGAGTGTGAACTAGACCGGCAAAGGAGGAAACAAAAGGCGGTCGACCCTGGCAACGGCTCTACTCCTGCAAGTGAGCCATCGACCAAGGGTCAAGGGAGCACACCTAGTGTTACGCGTGACAAATCGCTCACTGCACCTACCACTAGGAAGCAAAACATGATCATTAAGGCTAAGGACGTTAGGAAAGTTGTCAATTTTGATTAGCCTGTATTTCTCATGATTTGCAAACATGTGCTTTTTGATGTTGCTGAACTCAATAAGGCATTGCCTGCGAGTATGGTTGCTCTCTTGCAAGAATTTGAGGATGTTTTCCCCGACGAGGTCCCTGATGGCTTACCACCTATTCGAGGGATTGAGCACCAAATCGACCTCATTCCTGGAGCACCACTACCCAACAAACCTGCCTACCGCATGGGCCCTGAGGAGACCAAGGAGCTGCAAAGGCAAGTTGATGGCCTACTAGGTAAGGGTTGGGTGAAAGAGAGTCTAAGTCCTTGCGCTGTGCCTGTGGTCCTTGTCCCCAAAAAGGATGGTACTTGGCGCATGTGCACTGACTGCTGGGCTGTAAATGCTATCACTGTCAAGTATCGGCATCCCATTCCTAGACTTGATGATATGCTTGATGAACTCGATGGTGCTATTATTTTCACCAAAATCGACTTAAGGAGTGGCTATCATCAAATTAGGATGAAAGAAGGCGATGAGTGGAAAACAGCCTTCAAAACCAAACATGGTCTCTATGAGTGGCTAGTCATGCCTTTTGGTTTGACCTAGCACCTTCATGCGACTAATGAACCATGTTTTGAGACATTTTATTGGCAAATTTGTCATTGTTTACTTTGATGACATATTGATCTATAGTCGTAGTGAGCATGAGCACTTGGATCATGTACGATTAGTTCTTGAGACACTTCGACAGGCGCGTCTATACGCTAACCTCAAGAAGTGCACCTTTTGTACTAACGAGCTTGTGTTTCTAGGCTATGTGGTAAGTTCGCAGGTGATGAGGGGCTCAAGGTTGGTCAAACACAAGTTGCCCAAGTCATTCAAGTACCAAGTGGTCCAGTCACAAGAGCTCGTGCCAAGAAGATGCGTGAATCTTTACAAGCCCTTGTGAGTACAATCCAAGGCCGCATTGGAGATGATTTAAAGATTATTGAAGGCTTGGAGAATGAAGATTCAAAACTTTACACATTGCTCCAAGTAGAAGACCCTCCAGCGCCTGTTGCTAGTTAGGCGTGCCCTCACCTAGCGGTCACGCCTAAGGAAGAGTTAAGCTAGTTCTATTATTTATCTTTTTATAGTTAAATATTAGTTAAAGTCAGCCCATTAAACTCTTAGGGCCGGCCGAATCCTTGTCATTAATTGGTAGGGTTAGTTTAGTCAATTTTGGGCTTAGGGTTAATGCTTGTAAAGGCTATAAAATAGCCCTACTTCCTCCTTGTTAAGGATCGAGAAATTACATAATTTTGTGAGTTTATTCACTTTTCTCTTCCAAGAGAGCTTTGCTTGAATACTTGAGAGTTTTCTTGAGTTATTCAAATTGAACTTATCAACCAAGTATACACCTTGATTGTGGCGTTCTTCTATCCAAGTCGTTGGTTCACTAGATCGTTAGTTGTTGGGTTGAGATTCATCTTAGTTCATCAACTCGGGGTTTAGAAGGGTCATACGTGCCGCCTTTCCAACTTGATTGTTCGTCTAGATCCGCACATTCATATCAGTTGGTATCACGAGCTAGTCGACGACATCAAGTATATCCCATTGCATCTTGTAAGTTTTCCTTAAAAAAAAAAAAAAGAAAAATTTTTTTCCGTTTCTTATAGTGTCAAATTCTGGTCGTTTAGGACTTCCATAAGCGGCTAGGGTTTTGTCTTGGTTCTTGTTGTTTATCCTTGTTTTCGTTGATTGTCTTGAATTTTCGTGTTTGTTGTTGTCCACAATTCATCCATCGTGTGTCTTGATTTGGTGGGTCTTGTGTCTTGTTTCTTGAAGTCTTGAATTCATATAGAGTCATCCAAAAAAAAAAACAAAAAAAAGGGTTACTGTTCATCGGGTACTATTCACCCGAAAACACTGTTCATCCGAAAAAGAGAGGAAAAAACCTATTTTCTGGTTGTGTCTTGATGAAACCATGGCTGACCTTGAAATTTCCTAGCGTCCTTGATATTGTGGGGATTGAGTCTTGAAGTTCTTGGGCTGCAAAATTGATATCTTGAATTTCTTGATGTTAGGGTTTTGTAGTTTCGTGAATTTTCGTGGGCTGCCATCAAGTTTTTTGTTGGATATTGTTGTTCAAACTCCTGAAATCTGGAAATTTTGATTGAATCTTGAAGTTCTTGGGTGGGAAAACAAGGGTTCTTGAAAATCTTGTTCTCAACCTTTTCCAAATCTTGAACCTTCAAACCAAAACCAAAGTTCTTGGCTCAAACTTGCGGCTGCCTTGCTCAAATTTGACAAAGATCTTGTTTCTTGTGTGTGGGATCCGAATTGAAAAAGAAAGAAAGATCCATCTTGCAGAGAAAAAAAAAAAACAACGCAAGAAAGAAAAAATAAAAAAAAAATACAAAGACACACAAATCGGATTTCAAGAACAAGAAATAGTTTGCTTGGGTAGCCTAGCCGAACTTGGGTTGAAAGAACAAACCTTGTTGCCTTCAATCTTGAACTATTGGCCGCATCTCTTTGTCCACGAAATACCAGAAAACCAGCAGCCATTAACACCCCAAAACAACCAAGAAACCTTGCTATTAGATAGCCACAAAAGGTGGGAAGATAAGATAGGGTTTCCTACTTTGTAGCCGCCTCTTGCTTTTGCTTCTTGATTGTGGTTTGTGCCAACTGCCCAGCCGACCTTTGGTGCCTATTTTATAGCATTCCCAGCCAATAAAAACGTGGTTTACGAGGCCCAAGAGTCCTAATCAGTTTTGGATCCCACTTGGTAGTTAACTCCTAAAATTAGCTACTAGTCACAAACCAAACTTTCTTTTGTTTTTGTGGTTTCTTTTCTTTTAGGCGGACAGCTTAGGATATATATATTTTTTTCCCTCTTTCTTTTCTTTTTTTTTTTCCAGCATATTATACATCTCATTTTGTGTCTTACAATCAGTCCAACAAGCTTCCAAAACTCACAGCCTTCATCCGCCACACTTGGGTGTAATTTGGTTCAAGTTTGATTGAATTTCTTCAAGAAAATTCTGATTTCTTCAAGAAAAGCAATCTAGTGACTTGAAAAGTGTTTGGTGAGATCATTAGAGTGTTTTAATACACTTGAGTGAAACACGAGTGTGAGTGATATACTAAGGGAGTGAGTGAGGTGTTATTTCCACTAACTCTATTTTTGCAGGAATACCTCAACATGTCCGAAGGGAAGGAAACTACTCCTTTTGATATTAAACTTGTGATGGAAGCTATGACTGATAAATTGCTCAAGCTAATGAAACAGGAATTAGAACCATTGCATGAGAGGATGGATAGTCTCGAACACTCCCAAACCAATTCTAAGTCCCGGAGACACCAAGCACCAACCCGTGACTATGAAAGTTCCAACTCCGAGGAGGAATATGGGTCGAGGACATGGAAGAATAAACACCGTAAAGCTGGTGTGGATCCAATCAAAGGCGTTAAAATGCAATTGCCTACTTTCCAAGGCAAATCCGACCCCGATGTCTATTTGGAATGGGAGAAACGAGTGGAGTTGATCTTTGATTGCAATGGTTACACTGAAGAGCAGCAAATGAGACTTGCAGTCATGCAATTCACCGACTACGCCATAGTGTGGTGGGATCAAATCACTACTAGTAGAAGGCGAAGTGGTGAATACCCTATCACTACATGGACCGAATTGAGGGGTGTCATGAAGAAACGCTTTGTTCCTAGTCACTACCACCGTGACTTGTACCTCAAACTTCAAAATTTAACACAAGGAGGCAAAAGCGTGGAGGACTATCATAAGGAGATGGAGATAGCCATGTTAAGGGCCGACATTGTCGAGGACCGGGAAGCTACTATGGCACGATTTTTAAGTGGATTGAGGCCTGAAATAGCGGATCAAGTGGAGATGCACCATTATGTGGACCTCCATGATATGCTAGACAAGGCTATTAAGATTGAAAGGAGGCTCAAGAGGAGGGGTCCAATTCGACAAAATCCCAACTTCCAAGCTGGAAATTGGAGAAGCCAACCCTTCAAGAGGGAAGTCAACCCCTCTAGTGCATTCCCCTTGGTCAAACAAGGTGGGACAACCAAGGAGTCACTAAGGCCGAATGCACCTTCCTCAAAACAACCCTCAAGGGGCGATGGTAGGCCTACTCATGAGGTAAGCAAAGTTCGATACCGAGACACTAAGTGTTTTAAGTGTCAAGGGTTTGGACATATTGCTTCCCAATGCCCAAATCAAAGGGTTATGCTTATGCTACCAAATGGGGAAGTACGAACGGATGAGGAGGATGAGTGTGAGGACATGCCTCCCTTGGTTGAGGAAGATGAGGAATTTGAGGAGATACCAGCTCATGGTAAAGTTGGTATGGTTGCAAGGCGAGCTCTAACTACTCAAGCTAGTAGAGATGACCTTCAACGAGAGAACATATTTTACTCAAGGTGCCATGTGATGGACAAGCTTTGTAGCTTGGTAATTGACCCAGGGAGCTGTACCAATGTTGCTAGTGCACTCATGGTGGAACGATTGAACTTGCCAACAAGTGATCACCCCCGACCTTACAAACTACAATGGCTGAATAATAGTGGTGAGGTACGTGTTCATAAGCAAGTTTTAATTAATTTTGCCATTGGTAGATATAAAGATGATGTTTTATGTGATGTTGTGCCTATGCAAGCTACTCATATTATTTTGGGAAGGCCATGGCAATTTGATAAAAGGGTCATTTTTGATGGATTCTTGAATAAGTATTCCTTTGTGCATAATACTAAAAAGATCACACTTGCACCTCTTACACCTCAACAAGTGCATGAGGACCAAATTGGGTTGCAAAAGGAATATGACATGCATTGTGACAATAAAAAGAAAAATTTACATGATACAAAGAGCAAAATGGCCGAACCATCTTCTCATAAAATTGACACTTCACATTCGGCCATTGAAGGGAAAAAGGAGAGAAAATCCATCATGCTTGCTAGAACTAGAGATGTGCGAAAGGCTTTGCACTCTAACCAGATTTTGCTTATCTTGTTTTGTAAAGAGTCTTTGCTCACTAATGAACTTGGTGCTTCTTTGCCTAGTGCTATTGCTGACCTTTTACAGGAGTACCAAGACGTATTTCCTGAGGATATACCTAATGGGTTGCCACCTTTGAGGGGAATAGAACATCAAATTGATTTCATTCCTGGCTCTTCCCTTCCTAATAAGGCACCATATAGGACTAATCCGGAGGAAACTAAGGAGCAACAAAGGCAAGTAGAGGACTTGCTTGGTAAGGGCTGGATTCAAGAGAGTTTAAGTCCTTGTGCTGTACCTGTCCTACTTGTGCCAAAGAAAGATGGAGGATGGAGGATGTGCACCGATTGTAGAGCCATAAATGCCATAACGGTAAAGTATCGCCATCCCATACCTCGATTAGATGACATGCTTGATGAGTTACATGGTGCTATTATATTTACTAAGATTGACTTGAAAAGTGGTTATCACCAAATACGCATGAAAGAAGGGGATGAGTGGAAAACAGCATTTAAAACAAAACATGGTCTGTATGAGTGGTTGGTCATGCCTTTTGGCTTAACTAATGCACCTAGTACCTTCATGAGGTTAATGAACCATGTTTTGCGTTCTTTTATTGGTAAATTTGTGGTAGTCTACTTTGATGACATATTGATCTATAGTAAGAGTACAGAAGAGCATGTTGTGCATGTACGAATGGTCTTAGATGCTGATACGAACCAAGAGACACCATTGCGAACTATTCGAGTTCCCCTAGGACCCATAACTCGAGCACGAGCTAAGAAGATGAGGGAGGAACTCCAAGGACTTGTTCATGAGATACAAGGCCAAGAAATTGTCCCCAAGGTCATTGAGGGGCTTGAGCATGAAGGAATGAAAGTCATCCATGTAGTGCACGTCAAAGAGAACCATGTGTGACCCTTCTCTAGTCACATTTGCTGTTTTAGTTAAGTCATTGTATAAGGGTTTAATGGTCATAGCCTTGCTTTATTTACCTAAGCGATGACCTCATAAGGTCATTTACCTAAGCGATGACCTCATAAGGTTGTTTAAGGTTAAGGGATGACCTCATAAGGTTTGGTCAAGCCTATAATTGTTAGTCTTAGTCAAGACCACAACTCTAGACTAGTTCCACATTTAGTTGTTCATCTCTATGTAAGGCTATAAATAGCCCACACTTCCAATGGTTTAGGCATTCAATCAATAAATCAGATTTTGAGAGTTTTCTTGGTTTCTCCAAGGCTTCTTGAATACCTTAGAATTTCTCTAGGTGTTCGTGACTTATCAATCTAGAATCACACTAGGTTGTGGCGTCTTCTACCATTATACCAAGGTTCGTTAACCACGTGATTAACGGGTTGAGGTCATCCGCTTCAAACTTGGTGTCCTCTTGTCGATCCTGAAGCTAATCTTTTACGGGTTTCGTCACAAGGTTGGCGACGTTCGTATCAGATGCACTTCGAAAGGCGAGCCTCTATGCTAACCTTAAGAAGTGTACTTTTTGCACTAATCAACTTGTCTTCCTAGGTTATGTTGTGAGTGACCAGGGAATACGAGTTGACCAAGAGAAGGTGAAGGCTATAAATGAATGGCCAATACCAACCAGTGTAAGTGAGGTAAGGAGTTTCCATGGCTTGGCAAGCTTCTATAGACGCTTTGTCAAGGATTTCAGCACCATTGCTGCCCCACTTACAGCCATTATCAAGAAAAATGTGCCATTCCAATGGGAAGAAGAACAAGCTAAGTCTTTCCAATTACTTAAACACAAGCTCACCCATGCACCTGTATTAAGTTTACCTAATTTTGACAAGGCTTTTGAAGTAGAGTGTGATGCTTCTGGTATAGGTATTGGAGCTGTGCTCATTCAAGAGGGGAAACCAGTGGCCTACTTTAGTGAGAAGTTGACTGGTGCCTCGTTGAACTACTCAACTTATGACAAGGAATTGATGGCCTTGGTGCGCGCTCTCCAAACTTGGCAACACTACCTCAGACCTCGGGAATTCGTACTCCACACTGATCATGAATCGCTCAAACACATCAAATCACAAACCAAATTGAGCAAAAGGCATGCGAGGTGGGTGGCTTTCATTGATAGTTTTGTGTTTGTCATCCAATATAAGGTTGGGAAGACTAATGTAGTGGTTGATGCACTTTCTAGAAGGTATACACTAATCACTACACTAAACACTAAGTTGCTTGGCTTTGAATTCATTAAGGATTTATATGCAGCTGACCTAGACTTTGGTGAGATTTTCACAACCTTGCCACGAGTTACTCGTGAGCATTATTCTATGTCGCAGGGGTTCTTGTACTACAAAGGCAAACTATGTATTCCTCTGTGCTCCATGCGACTTTTGCTGGTTAGAGAGGCTCATGGTGGAGGCCTCATGGGACATTTTGGAGTGGCGAAGACCTTGTCAATTCTCCAAGAGCATTTCTACTGGCCTCGCATGCAGAGGGACGTCGAGAGGCATACACAAAGGTGTGTCACTTGTCACCAAGCAAAATCAAAGGTACATCCTTATGGACTCTACACTCCTTTACCCATCCCACATGAACCTTGGGTAGATTTGTCTATGGACTTTGTACTTGGATTACCTAGAACTAGACAAGGGCATGATTCCATTTATGTGGTAGTTGATCTGATGTGTGCACGGGCCTCGGCCCACGCGATGACCCAGTCCGAGTCCCACTGGGCCCAGTCACACGTTCACGGGCCAAGCTGTTCAAAGAATCACTCCAAGCCCTGGTGAGAGTCGTCCAAGACCAACATGGAGTTCACAAAGATATTGAGGGCTTAGAGAAAGACCACTGGGCCAATTACACCTTGATCCAAGCCCATGACGACTCAAGTGGGTCTCCAAGGGATTCGGCCGAGTAGGGCCTTAGCCTTTGACACTTATTGGAATAGCTTACTTAGTAGAATGGGCCGGCCCACCTTACACTAAGATGGCCGACCACCCCTTTTAGGATTACTTAGGGTTTCTTTATTGTTTTCCTTAGCCTATAAATAGGCTAGCTTTGTAAGGTTAAGAACTAGCTTTTGATTAATAAAATTCTTAGTGCATTCGTTTTCTTTCATAAAGAATTCGTGCCTTTAACTTGCTTGGTAAGGGTTATTGAGCAGTCTCGCGTCCTGTCCTTGATTGTTCATCCGACCTATTCCCCTGGAGTATTCACCTTCATCGGAGTGTCGTCTACCACCTCCAATCAAATCGAGTTGTCCGTTTGAGTAAAGGTTCCGCAAACCAAGCGTAGGACATCCCCGCTAGATCCTTGGGCAAACGTGCTACGTGTCTCGACCGTGGATCGAGGAACGTATCAGTTGGCTTCAGAGCTTTGGTGGAGGTATCTTCCGTTATATCTGTAGTCTTGTCTTAGTTTTCCTTAATTTTCCGCTGCCTTGTTTGTTAAAAAAAATATATATATATATTTTTCTGTTCGAATTGTTACTTGTTGAGCCGTTTCCTTCGTTTGTTCTCTAGAATTCTGGTCGTTGCTTTTGTTTTGTTTTACGTTTCCATATCTGTTCGTTTTGAGTCTGCAAGTCTGTCCGTTGCTGTTTTGTTCGTCAAAAAAAAAAAAAAATTTCTGTTCGCTAGTTCTTGTTGTTGTCGCATCAAATTTCTGGACAGCTGTGTGTTATCATTGTTAGTCCCAATCTGCCCAGATTTCATACTCTAGTGACATCCATTCTGCCCAGCAATTAGCCTTGCCGAATCTGCATACAAAAAAAAAACAAAAAAAAAACAAAACAGGCGCGGCTAGGGTTTTGTTGTTTGTCCGAATCTGTCCAAGTAGTTATTGATTATCCAAGTTGTTTGCTTACCTTATCTAAACTGATTTGGGGGTAAAAACTTGTTGGGTTGGTGAATCTTGAATAGCACCCGCAAGGTTTGTAGGGTTCTTGAACACTTTCTTGAATTTCTTGAAAGTCTTGAAAACCTTTGTTAGTTTGAGGGAGTAGGGTGGTGCGTTCTTGTGTGTTTCGGGCAGACCTTGTTTCTGGGATTGTTTTACTCATTCGGTCAGGTGTAGTCTGTTACCAAGTGAGAAAAAAAAAACAAAGCAAAAGAAAACAGAACCGAAGAGAAAAAAAA